TATTACCGTGTGGGCATATTAAAAAAGTTAACACGCCGTGAAAGTACGAAAACGAATGCTCTTTCGAAATAAATTCTACATAAATCCAACACGCGTATTATACTGGTGCGGTGCCTACCTTACATTTGCGCCCAAAATGTCTAGTCAAAAAATCAGACCCAAACGACCGTATAATATAATGTTTATAAATATATATAATCACACCTATAAATACGCTTCACACGCGTAACCGCCCTAAGTGTTTGCGCTCGAGGCAAATAGTCAATTTTATCGTATAAACATATTTATATCGAATGTACGTTGCAGTTGGAATACGTATCACCGAACACATAAATGTTGTACATATAACCATATAGGCAAAAACATATAAATACACAACTGCGTAATGACACGACGTGTAAAAAAAGTCATTATATATAATATCATATTACGTGTGTTACATATACACACACTTATACTCGTTTGGCGAAGTGCATTAATTTTTCATTTTATTATTATTATTATTATTTTTTCACTTATGTTTCGTTAAAGTGCCCACGATTAGATATATAATTTAACCAAAGCCGTCGCCATCGCTGCCGTATGCGCTCACAACGACTCGCAACGTTTCATGATTAATACGATAAAACCCTTTAATTGATGATTATTATTTTTTCCTGTTAATCGTCCACCTACGACTGTCCTTAAACGATGAACGTCGAACATATTACACATCAAACAGTGAATCGAAATTGTGTTTAACGCGTGATTCGTGTATACGTTACTTATGTGAAAAACGTGAAGAATTATTATGTATCGTTGAGTGAACTAGTGTGCACATCCGTGCGTATTACAGTTCACAACAAAATTATAAATACTGGATGTAAATAAAGATTACACAAGGAATTGAAAGACATCGCAACGGAGAAACACTTCACCGTCAAACCGACACATGGACCACACAAAAATATAGATTCTAATATATTATGAATTTATGGTATTAAAAACAAAACACTATTATTGTAATTATTGTAGTAGAAATATTATGCCTGGTACACGTTATGGTAATTAAATCGAAAATCCTATGCACAAAATAAAAATTACAGTTCAGTATACAGCCATAATGTACCTATAGTAAAAGCATGCAGTAGTACGGTTCTAGGGCAAAATAGCGAAACAATTAACCGTATATATCAAAATCGTGAATTGATAATATCAAAAATAAAAATAGCGAATTCTAAAATAAGCGATCATGCATAATAGCGTAACTGCAGTTTTTTATCATTTCTATTTTGAATACTACACATTTTAATATAGTACTTGGATAAGTTTCAAAACTTATAAAACTGTAAAACTATAACCTGTTTTATTAATAATTAGTATTTTTAATAATATAATAAATATTATTTAGCAGGAAGCCACCCAACTATATGGAAATGTATTGATGTAATAAAGAAAATTGGAAATTTAGATGAATTAAAACAAGAACGGTATAATGCTATAGAACAACCAGAGATTAAAAAAAATTACAAGAACTATGCTAAAAGACTTCATTCGTTAATTACAAATTACAATACTAATGATAATAAGAACTTTGTAAATGGTATATCATTTTTCACTAAATGCCTAATTGTTGTTTCAAAATTATTATCGCTAAATTATATATTTTCGCTCTTTTTTAAAATTCGCTGTTTTTATTTTAGCCAATATTAATTCGCAATGTTTACATTCGCGGTTATTTTTTCGCTATTTTGGCCGGATACCCAGTAGTACTGCAGGGTTGTTTTCGAATCGAACATAATTTACAGCGAATACGTATTTATGATGTGTGTGTGTGGAAGAACTGACCATCAAATATTCGAATTTATTTTTATTTGTTTTATAGAAAACAACTTGGGAAATATTCATCTTCATATTTTTAGTACATTTATGTGCGATCTGATATCTTAATAATATGTTCGTACGTATACAGTAATGAAAAAGTACATTATAGTCATCGTGTTACATTATTCCCCGTAAATACGCGTACCTAAATTTATAAATTATATATAAATGATTTTTTTTAAAAAAAAAAAGAAGAAAAAAGCTTACCATCCTTTGATGATATACTGAGAAAGCTGTGTGGTACGTTATATGATGATAATTTGTGGTGGTGGCACAGATTAAACGTCGAAATCCGAGAAATTAGACGATGTATGAAGGTTAGGTTATTGTATTAAGGTAACCAATTTTATAAAAGCACAAATATTACAATGGTTCGATCGTGCTACAAGAAAAGATGAAACAAAAGCCGTGAGGACAGTCATTGAATACCAAACAAATGGAAAAAAGCCAAGAAAGTAGACCAAGTATACGTTGGATTGACGGGATAAATCAAGACTTGAAAATAATGGATATAAAGGATTGAAAAGATGTGATCCAGGATAGGGATAATCGGAAAGTTGTGATGGTTGCAACGAAAACTCTTGGAAAATCATATAGCCAAGAAGAATAAAAATAAGAAGATAATTCATTTACATCACAAATAGACATTGATTGCAATAAATAGTTATACATTTTTTATAAATTATAAGCATATATTAATTCTTGAGAAGAATAGATATTTATTCAGCATATTATTAGTTTGTAGTATAATTTCAATGTTTCCTTACGTATGCGCACGGTTGTTAAAATTAACGAGTTTCGCCAAACCCAGACGACGCGTCAAAGATGAAAATACATAGGTATTTGTGAGGCTATGTTTTGATAGAAGTTACACATCAACGATTCGTACCTATACATAAATACTATCAAGGTTGGTATAAATACTTCCAATATTGTTACGAGTGTTTGATACTTGTATACAGACTAGGCGAGACTATTATTATACTAGACGATGTAGATACAATATTATACACACCGATATATGATATATTTTTTGTAGGTATAACTATTTTTTTTTTTTGGTTTTGGAAAAATTGTAAAAACAAATAATTATATTTTGACCTTCACGGTGTACTACTGTATACACATACTTCTCATCTTACTTGTACCTACACAATGTATGTCTATACAATTTGTTTGTAAAACATTTTTTTCCCTCTCGAACAATAATAAAATGACTATAACATTTTCACTAGTATAATTTGTTTACAAGTATATACGCACGTATGTATACAATATAAAAATAAAAAAAAATCTTTTTTCCCATTATGTACCCGCGACAACTACTAAAATATATACGTAATACATACATATATACTTTTATACCTTATATATTATATACTATATGCAATATATGCACATCAATTGTGATCCATCTCTTCCTCTTCCAGTCGATTAGAGAGACAGCGTCGATGAAAACGATATATTATACACACAAAAAGACGACGACTACGTCACGAAATATTTACAAACTTAAGCACAAATTCACATACTCTTTCACACACTCACACACACACACACACACACGCGCGCGCGCGCGCGCGCAACATACAATCATTACAATCCCACGAGTGTATAACGATGACACGTAGACTTATGTGCTAGACAATATGTCATAATTTTTTAGAGAATAATTGAAAAATAACAAGAGCACGTATAAATTTGTATATATTTAGAGAGATAGAGAAATATATTCATTCCGCCCCATCGAACACTCATGATACACAGGATTCTGTCTAATTCTGTGGCTTAATGCAAAAAGGATCAATTTTTCGCAAAATAATGAATTATTGTTCAGATAATTACTGTTATAAACAAAACCCAAACGACGAGCTATGATAATAAAATACCTGTAATATAATTCTTCAATCGAGTTCCAACATTAAGTACATACATTAGCCAATCTAAAGAATAATAAAGTTTTATATGGGGCATTATAATGCTATATACTACTAAAAATGGTTGGGTTTTAGAATTTTGTTTTTGATTTATAGAATAACTATACTGTAGGTACTAGTATGGTTTTTAGTTTGCTTAGCAACAGAGGAAAATACCGCATTTGTTTAAACATTAATCCCGAAAAACAACGGACTCTACCTACTAATCGCAAATGTAATCATGACATTTCGTTAAAAAATGACATGTAGTTTTGATCTTTCTTATCCCAATCCTTGGGGAATATATTGTATATATTATATAATATAGGTTTTATTCATACATAATACTATCTTGACACCACAACAGCAAAAGTGTAAAAAGTGTAAAAATTAAAGTCCATATAATTCAACTTTTTGAAAGAAAAAAAAATGGATACGTGCGAATCACAGAGGTTTGATTTACAATATTATATGTAGTACGATATGTATTTTCGTGTAGCGACATAGTGAACATTTATAAACATTAATGCATAACATATCATAACTATAACCCACCCCGTTTTAATCGTAAAGATAAAATTAAATATTTTCAGTTTGCGTACTTTATAGTTTTGTGTAAAAATGTATACTTTGGGATTTTGAGAATAATAATGCTGATTGCAGTATATACTAACAGTAGTTAATATTTGTTTTTTAATGTGTACACACATAAAATAACAAAACGTTAAGTACCTACCTGTAGCATAATAAACTGTACCGAATTTAAATACCATACCTAGCTGTATGTTGAAAAAAATCTTTCAACACGCTACGACATTTCGGCGAGTCTTACCTGCATAAATGTTTGAAAAATCGCAGAATCAACTTTATAATCGTAACATTTGCGTTCGTCGTAAACAGATAAAATATCATAATAATTGCTAGTAACCGAGAGCTAAAAGTGTAAGGAGCAAAATAACAAAACGACTTATTAAAATACATTATTTTATTGTTTCCGATTACGAAAATTGCACGTTTATTCATGGAATCATATATTAATATATTATACACTGCACTGACGTATAATATAGGTATAGATATACAGGGTACCTATACATACATGCGAAAAATATTTACAACACACATTGTTTAAAAAATAATTTAAAATATATAATAATAAATATTTATTGTACACGATGAGGTGGGGTAACATAGTATTTATATATAAAAAAAAAAAAACAAACTGAAAACAAATCATAATATTTAATAGGTAATAATAATATTAATAATAATAATAATAAAAATAATGATAATGAGTGATACTACCGCCCATACAGGTACAGTACGTATGAATATAGCATAATACGAGTATATGTATATACTACATTACGTTTACACGTCGCACTAACGATATAAACAATTATTAATCGCGTTCGGTTTGTTCTATTTTTATTTTACAAACGCGCAACCCCCCTACCACAACCAAAAACAAAATATCGTAACTTAAAATATTATATATAATATACCTATATAATTGTTACTGCACATTAAAAACTACATCACAGCAAAACGAACACTAAAAACTACATTAATATCTATTTACTTATTTTTTATGTTCAGTACTTTATATTTTTATTTTTTACACGCACACAATGTTATGTGATGTATAATTAACCATAAATATATATACATATATAGTTACTTGACAAACGCGTTGTAAACACAATGTTATTTATAAATATAAATATGATAGTATTTGGGTAAACTGTTTGATCTGTAAACAGTCCTTAAGTATGGAAACACGAAAGAGAAAAAAAAAAAAGCAAAATTTAGTCGAAAAAAGAACGGTTAAAAAAAATAACGTATTATTTATATCATCGATCGATGTGTTTTGCGCACAACGATGTGTACAAAATTATAACATAATATTTACGTGTCAGGTCGGCGCTAATGCCGATGGAGTTAATTCAAACGGCAAGAGCAGTCCCAGTCAGTTCCTTTTCTTTTTTCCGTACAAAGTTTTTGCGTTGAAAATTAACTGTTGGAATATTTGCAAATTTCAATGGGGCCGTTGTTCGTTTCGCGCACAACCGGGTACTCGCACGTACTTTATGGGACACGAAAGCCGATCGGACCACTTGCCGAAAATGATTCTTTTCACGGCGATTTTTTCGTGCGTGTACCGATGCACTGTTTAAATGAAACACGCAGGCGCGGTGTGTACAGGGTGCACACGTACGCGCGCGGAACCGAGTTCGCGAATTATGATCGCACGAGATCATATCGATATTTAAAAAAAAAAAAAATATCAAATCATAACAACATTATCGATACGTTGTTACGCGTTTCAGCGCGCGCGATCCGCGTAACACCATACCGGCGGCCGGGAGTCCGAAGTGCTGCCGCGATAACCTTACACGGCGCGAACCCACGGCACCTGTACGCGGGGGGGAGGGGGTCAACGACGTGCTCATCGTCAGTTGTGCGGGAAATAAGACGCCGCGTACCGTAAGTATTGCTGGTGATGGTGCTGTTGTAAATGCTGCAGCTGGCTGTGGTGATGGTGGTGGTGGTGCTGTCGCTGAAGGTGTTGCTGGTGGTGATGATCTTGGAACGCGATCGCTGCGGCCGCGGCCGCCGCTGCATGGTGCAGACCGTACGATACCATCATCGGGGCCGGGTACGCGGCCGGCACGATGGACGGGAACCGGCGCAGGATGTCGTCGTCGTCCGTGTCGTCGGAGGCAGCCGACGACGAGGCGGTGTTGGCCGCGGCCGGGGCGCGCAAACACGGCGGCGCAGCCGGTGACTCCGCGGACGTCTGATCCGGTCCGATGAGACTCTCGATGTCGAACGGTCTCTTGGCCGACGGCTTGATGATGGTGGCCGTGGTGGTAGTGGTGTCCACGTCCACTGCTGTGATGCCGTGTCGATGACGTCTGTGGTGCGCGGCCGCGGTACCGCGACGGTGACGGTGATGACCGCGCTCGGCCGAGTTGATCTGCTGCTGCTGCTGGTGCTGGTGCACGTGATGGTGACCGTCGTTGACGTGATGGTGAAGCGTCGCGTGTTGGGACGTGAGCGACGGCGGCGGCGGGCTGCCGGCCGACGACGAACACCGCGACGACGACGCCGAGGACGCGCCGGACGACATGGACGAGTGTCGCGGCGAACCCGATGAGGCCGCGCCGGACGACATGGCCGGATGGTTGCGCTGCATGTGCGCCAGGTTGTTGGCCAGGGCGATCAGTTCATTGTCCAATCTGTCCGAAACAAGGGGAAAACGATATTATTCAATTCACGCTCGTTACATTATCCGGTCGAAATATTTATTTATCGCAACGGTCACGTCGCGCACCCATCGTCCGTTAACACTACGGGGCGGCACCGAACGAAACGTAACATAAGAATAATAATGGTTGATAACGTAATTATCGTGTACCGTTCTTACCTGTCTTTGTCGGACTTGACCAGCTTGAACCGTTTGCGGCGTCTCAGCAACGACCCGTTCTCGAACATGTCCAGAGCGGCCGGGTGCAGCGCCCAGTACGCGCCCTTGCCCGGCCGGTCGGGCATCCGCGGGATCTTGACGAAACAGTCGTTGAACGACAGGTTGTGTCGCAGCGAGTTCTGCCAGCGCTGCGTGTTCCGTCGGTAGTACGGGAACTGGTCGCTGATGAACTTGTAAATGTCGGACAGCGGCAGCATTTTCTCCGGCGAGCTCCATATGGCCATGGCCGTCAGCGATATGTAACTGTACGGCGGCTTCTGGTCGCCGTACGAGTCGCGACTCGGGCGCGGCATTTTCCCCCGCGCCGACAGCGGTTACGCGGCCAAAGGGATTCGCTCGATCGTCCTTTAAGCGACTGCGCTAACGTAACACACTTGATGCGGACGAACGCGATGTGTACACGTACGGTATTCGCCGAGCGCGTCCGATTGAATATTGTAATACAATAATAATAACAATAATATTGACGACGGCCGCGCTACGGATTTGAACTGCGTAATACGGACGTGCGACGACAGCGAGTGAGTGCGGACTGAACGGACGTGGGGCCACCGGGTAGACGACGGTCGTGACGGTGACGGTGACGGCGGCGGCGGTGGCAGCGGCGGCTAACGCGGTCCAATGGCACGCCGGCGCGGAGCCAATGGCTTGGGCGCGGTCACCGACGCAAACGCCGCCCTCCGTGCCCCTCCGCTTGCTGGCGTTCGGCCCAAGAGGCGCGGATACGGATGCGGCTCGATCGTGTCGTTATTTCCTGACTCCTTCTCCCGTCGCGCACACGGTATCACACCGCCCGCCCGCGACCGCACCTATGCCAGTGCTATCGTGCCGCGTGTCGCGTACCCGCCGCCTACCATGCGCCTTCGGTTTTCCTTTGCCCGCGCCGCCCGAAAAAAACGTTCCTCAACAACACGACGTGCGGTGCGACGATCGCTAGTCCGGTCCGCTCTCGCTTCGCTCCCTCCCCTCCCACCCCACCGGTCGAAACGTGCTTACCCCGGAGTCGTTACGGACCCACGGAATGCTGCGCGCACGTTTTACCCGCCGACGGTATTTTTCAAAGCAACCACACTCGTCGTGCATGTGCACATGTGCTCGCGCGCGTTTCTTGTGAGATATCGGCCGCCTATGCGATAGATACCACCTATCGTGCCTTCGACGGATCAACGGTATTCGCCGCCCTCTTTTTTCCCTTTTTTTTTCTTTTTGTACGCAATGAGTACGCGTAGAAATTGTTTCTATCGCGTTCGCCGCGACCTCGTTAGACAATGGAACGCCATAGCCGTCGTGTATCCCGCACGCGCACACCTATAATTCAACCGTTTTACTGTGTGTTCATTGAGTAAAAATCAAAACTACCTAATAACTGTTTTAGGTACGCACTGGCACCACGCGATGAATCTTAGGTCACGCGTATACGGTATGTATTGCGTACGCGGACAGATATGTCACGTTTTATATCTGACCCGAGGGGGTTTTTATATTTTATGTATTTAGTTACGTTCGAGCTGGGGGACTGGAACCTATTGGGTTTTTCGGTTCTGGTTCTGGTTTCGGTCCGAAACTTTCGGAGGCGTTAATATTTCTCGTGGTATTAAATAAAATCGAAAAAAAAAATTACACACATTTGCAATGCAAAATAATAAAAACATTTAAAGATTTGACTTTTATTTTTCTCAACCTACAAACGGACAAACAAAATAGTCATTACCGTAATTTTACTATTCCAATTAACTAACCTAAACCAACTCTTGTATTTTTAAGGTTACGGTTACGTTTTTTCATTTTTTAAAATAAAAGTTCCTGTTCCAGTTACGGTTCCTAAATTTTAAAGATAAATCGGTTACAGTACTAGATATTTTCGGTTACGGTTCTGGTCCCTGCATTCAAGTGATATTCGCCTTCATTGTTCGCATTATTAGGAATTCGACTGCATAATAAATATCAAGTGCATTTACACTTAAGTAAGATAATTAACGAATGTATCACGAGCCGTGTTTGATCTAATTTTATAGATTTAAGTTAATATATTTACAAAGTAATAAACTTAAGTTTTCTAATTAGACGCCAATATTTAGACATTTATTTTTACTATAACACCGGGAATTTGAAAAACATTAATTACTTACTTTGTACCACTACTACAAACTCACTTAATGGTGATAAGAATAAGAATAGAAATTAATAAAAAACAAAAATATACATTTAGAAACTTTTGGAAACAGTTAAAGAAAATACAGACGCGTGTTTCATTAAAATAAAAAACTAGTACATTATATTGCATTTTCAAATGCAATAAACAATCAAATAATAACGTTAGAGAAGTATATTAATTAATTCATTATAATTATTTAATCTAAATAAAATAAAATCACAGGATTACTTTATTTTAATTTTATTATTCGATGTTGAAACAGTTACGTTTCCATAAAAAATATTTAAATATTTTGATATTTATTTATTATACCTATATTTTTTTTTCAGTTTCTACAATTAGTTTTCCTATCTATATGAGCTTAAATTGAACCTGTGATAGAATGTAAAAAATTGCTAAATAGGATAAAAATTCACTTAATGTTTATATGAAATTATTTTTAGTAAAATTAACTAATTTAGTAGGTACTTACTTATTTAATTTAGCGTCAATTATTTCTGTTAAAACTCACTCGATTTACTCAGTCATATACGGTTTTTTAAGTCCATCAAGAAATATTTTTTCATTTTATTATAAAATTTACTATCAGTATTATATGCTATATTATTTAATAATAGTATTTATTAATCAATGATAAAAGTCGATACTAGGTAATAAAAAATAAGTATTAAACATCTTGTGCCGTACATGAAATGAATGACCAAACTGTGAAATTACAAGAGGTCAAATTAAAATGACCATTTCGTGAAATTTTTTTTATTCCACAAAGTATAAAAAAACAGTTTCCATTTCATGAAACTATCAACATGATGTGCATTAATTAATTTTAAATCGTTATTATATAAGTACATCATATCATTGTAATATTTAATCATGTAATAATTGAATTACATGTTTGCTTAGTAGATTTACATAACGTATTACAAATTATATTTGAATCGTATCAATTATGTATACTTGGACAAGCTATAAAAGTTTAAATATTGATAAATCGTATTTCTTTCCATCCTATTTGGTTATGATCTCACAAAATCATAATTACGATATTTAGACAAATATATATATATATATATATATTGTAGTAATAATTGTTCTATGTGTATGGGCGCCCATAAGTAACATTTTAGGGGGGTGGGTCAAAATAAAAAAAAAAATTCGAATGTAAGATAATAAAGATTTAATGTTATTTTTCACATATAAATGTATACATGCATGTTATATTTTTATTTGTATATATATATAGTGTATTAATAATAATTGCCATACAAATAAATAAATAAATAAATAATAAATTTAATAAGTATATAAAAAAATAGAAATTAAATAATATAATTAAGTATATTATTCGGTATCAATAAATAAGAACTGTATATTTCTTCGTTTTATTTAAAAGATATTAATGAAAATATCCTTGTTTGCGTTAACTCTTTTATGATAAAGGCTCATCATACACAACCCATTTAAACGATCTTCTTCTGTAGTCAAGCAAAGCCACATTTTTACTCGTCTTAATGTATTGAACGATCTTTCTATTGTGTACGTTGTTGGAGGCAGTGATATAAAAATATTATGTATTAAGTACTTATCTCCAGATTCAACATGAAATTTTAAAAGATCATGAAAATTTCCACTACAAATCAATTTGCCTCTAATTGCTAGATCATGTGTCGCACAAAATAATAATGATGACAAAATCATGACTAGTTTTTTTGTTGTATTTTGTTCAATTTGTGAGTGTTGAGCAGTATTTAATTGATCTATAATACTTTTTTCTTTGTTGGACATAATTTTTAAAACATCTGTTGATAGAGAAACTGAATCTCTATGCCATTCAGATTGCATATGTTTTTTTTTTGCGTGAAAATGAAAATCTTTATACTTGGTACCTAAATTCACTAACAATAAACGCTCCTAATAATCCTCTTTTAACGACAGGACGAAAAACAACACAATGTTTGCATAAGCCGCCTTTTAAACAGTGTTGGGACTTATCTAGATAAATTATCTAGATAGATTTTTTGTCATCTTTTATCTTATCTAGATAAATAACGCTAAGTTATCTAATTACTTATCTAAGATAACATTTGTACTTATCTAGATAATTATCTGTATTCTTACCAAGATTAGAGTTATTTTTATTCTTGTACAGAGACGAATCCAACAAATCAGAGATCATCAAAATCGGTCCAGCCGTTCTTGAATTATAAATTCTGTAAATAACCTGACTTTCTTTTATACAATTAGATTTTGTATTCATAATCATAATTCGTGTATTATTAATAATTAATTATTATTTCTTGGTATGACATTTTGTTTGTATTTTCATGTCGGGAAAATATTTTTGGTATTTTTCAACTTAATTTCTTATTTTTCCACGGAAGTTCCAAATATAGTAGGTATTTGATTTTAGTATATACATGTAACTCATACGCTGAATAGTTATTACTTCACTCTTGGAATCCGTAAAGTCGTAACTACTTATAGAATAATGAAAAATCATCAAATTAATATTATATGGAAAACAATATTGTTAACTTAAAATAAATTTTTATGTATTCTGTATTCATCCTGATACGTACAGAGCAATTTTCATTTTTTTTTTTTTTTTTTTTATGTAACATTATAGTGATTAACTATCATATTATATTGTACATTATATATAAACACTGCTTAGTGGTACACTACATTACTACAATAAATATTAAAACCTAGGTACCTATTGATAATAATGATAATAATAATTGAGTCTTCATAGATATTATTAGATATGAAATATTGACCAAAAAATAAAAATGTTTGAAAATATATTTTTTTTTTATCTAGATAAAAATGAAATTATCTTTTATCTTTATTTAGATATTTTAATTTTTTTATTTATTATCTTTATCTAGATGAATTTTGACATATTATCTTTCATTTTTATCTAGATAAATTTTGCATTATCTATTCCTAAAACTGCTTTTAAACATCGATATTGTTTAAGCCATTCTATTTTAAAATTCCTTTTATATACAATACTGTCATTCTTAAAGTCATAATTATCAGAAGGAACATATGGTTTTGTAAGTAATTTATATTTTAGTTCATCTGATAAATTTTATTTATTAATATAAAATCCTAAATCTGGATATGATTCACAACCATTTGGCGTATAATTAATAGTTAATGTAGGTATCGTATTTATTGATGTAGAACATTCCTTGTTTAAATTTAATTGAGCAGAAACACTTGTATTTTTCGATGTGTGTGGCTCAAGTACAGCAGATGCATTATCTTCATCAGATTTTTTTTTAATTAAAAACGATCGAATATCCATAGTAAGAACTGAAATTTAAAAAAATAATATTGAATAATTACTAATGACACTCAGCAGTCAGCACTGCTGATAATGTCACACAGAAAGTTGACGACTAAAATGCAGTCAATGTTGTCTGATAAAATATTTGTAGTACCTATATTGTGATCTTTATGGATTTACCACAAATTATCTGCGATAAATAATTTTACTTATAGGTACCTATATGGACTATAGACTACGACCTATCTATGATGTTAACATGATTTATACGATAACAATGAGTATATTTTTATACTTATTTCATATCTTAAAAGTGATTTTAACAAATAATTTGCCTCGGTAATAAGGTAATATTATGGTAATATTTATTGAGCTACAAGTTCATAATATTTTTTTCCAGGGGGGGGGGCAAGTGCCCTGTTTTTCCCCCCAATGGGCGACACAGACTGTGTATATAATTTATGTACTGTATTTATTTAATATATTTTTAAAAATAAATTCTACTTGTATAACAACAGTTCTTTTTTTGCAGAAATATATTAACTAATAAATGCATTTTTATTACTATTTATCTTAATCAATTTTGTAAACAACTTTATTTATTTGTCATTTGTTTGTTTCAAATTGTTATATCCTTAAATATTATAAAAACAATATTTTTTTAAATTATCATATTGACGCCTCAGTTCAAGACTGCAATAACTTGAATTATGTAACTACTGGTTCTAGAATGAAATAAACGACCTCTAGAGGTGAATAATGCAAATAAAAGTTATTGTGTTATAGAATCAAAATCATTGTAATTTTGCAAATAATATCACGTAGATAACTCAATTCTGAATATTTTTGAGATATTGCTATCATGAACTCAGTTCGTCGATATCTCAATTATAGTTTTTTTTTGAGTTATTGCAGTCTTGAACTGAGGCGACGAAATAATCATGTAATATATTAAAAGTTTATTATTTAATATTTAAAAATTAGGTTAAAAATTGCAATAAGTATCAACTCAAATAAGATAAATCGTAAATCGTAAAGTACAATCAATTCCTTATAAAAGTATTATTTTTTAAAAAATTGTTTTTCAATTTTAACTTAGTTTTTAATATCTTGAATAAATACATATATATACATTACTTATAAAATTTTGTAGTAAAGTACTGGTTATGACAAATAAAAGTTTTTAATCCAGAATAAATGCTGGGTAGTAAAACATAAAATAAACAAGTTCGGAAACCCCACGCGTAACAAATTCCTGACATAGAAACGTATTTTAAACAATAAACTATAGTTTATTATAACATTATTATTCTGTATACAATTTAAAAATAATTTATGAACATATATATTATGTTAGGGTGTAGAAACCTAAATAAATTAAATATATATAAATATCTATATAGTTTTTATGTAGAAATAAATAAATAAATGCATGACCTTAAATGCATGGGTGAAATTAAATATCTTTATAATTTGTAAATAAAATTATTTTGATTTTGATTTTTTCAAATATTAGCTTATACGAATCTGAATTAAATACTTGTATTCTGGTATAATTTAAAACTGACTAGTACATATTACCTAAATAAAAATTATTTTATCTCATAATATTAAAATTTGAAACTGTTTACTGGTTAAACTAAAGAATAGACGGACAACAACGAAGGTATAAAGTGTTCGAAATGCATGTTTAAAAACCTGCAATTAGGGGAAGAATAGCAATGAATATTTTAGCATTTTATTAAATAAATTTAATAATATAAAATTTAATATGTGTAAAAAAATGATACGGTAAAATTATTGTATTTTAAGTGTAATTAGATGACTACAAAATAAAAATAAAAAAGTATTTATTAAAATTAAATTTTTTTTTAAATAAAGCCATGTACTAATATGTTTACAAATAAATGCATTGTTTTATTTAAAAATTCTTTATCTTTTATTTTCAAAAATGTTAAGATAATAACAGAAATCTTATTCAAAGAATACGTATCTATATAAATCCTTTCCAATATTACATTACATACACTCAAGGAGCCAGGTGCATCAGCTTATATACATTATTATTCGACTTGCATACCAAGTATAAAAACAAGAAAAGAAAACCCCTTAAAATAAATTCTTCGGCAACACAACATACAATGGCTTGTCCGAAATGAATTAGGTGGGAAAAAAAGTATCAAGAATCGTGAAAAAAAAATTGATTATGAAAGTGACTTAGAAATGACATTTTTAGGCGAAATATTTGATAACAACTATTAACACAATCAAGTTATAACCAATTTCCGAGAGACGATGAATATTTTTTATTTAACACATAATAATATTACATTTTAAATGGTTGCAGCCACACTATTTCTTGTCACTGCACTGTTGTAGTGAATTATGTATAAATGGTGTAATTTCATTAATTCGTCATTTTATCATCAATTTCATAATTTTTCAATTATTTTACACAATTTTATCAATTTCATAATTTTTCATAAATTCAACATTTTTTCACAATTTCATCAATATCACAATTTTTCATTCATTCGACATTTATTCATCAATTTCACAATTTCACAACATTTCATAATTTCATCATTTTTTCACAATTTCAATTATTTTATTTTTTTTAACAAATAATTGCAGATGAATTGAATATGAATTAGAAGAGGGGGGTTCTATTACGATATGAATTTTTTTTTTTAAGAGGAAGAGGGGGGTATTCTATAATGATTTGAAAATATTGAAAACATTTTCAAATTGTTATAGAAGACCCCCCTCTTCCTATTCAAAAAAAAATTTTCAAATCGTTATAGAAGACCCCCCTCTTCCTATTCAAAAAAAATTTCAAATCGTTATAGAAGACCCCCCTCTTCCTATTCATGATACACATTTTCAAATCGTTATAGAAGAACTCCCCTCTTCCTAATCAAAAAAAATTTTCAAATCCTTATAGTAGACCACCCTCTTCTAATTCATATTCAATTCATCTACAATTAATTGTTGAAAAAAAGTAAAATAATTGAAATTGTGAAAAAATGTTGACTTTATGAAAAGTTGTTGTTTACGCCGATGGATGTAGCCGGCAACCGGTACAGAGTCGAGCGATATCAATTGTGCACAACGCTGCGACTCGTTTCCTTATCTGTTTCTTCCTTCCTAATCTTCCGTCTGTGTGAATTTTAATTAGTATGTGTTCGTTGATTATTGTCTTATTTATTAATTTTGTATTATCTTTGTTGGTGAATTATGCAGATTAGTGGGTTATTCTATTTATTACATAACGGCCAACGCCCTTTATTATATTACGTATTTTATATTTATTACTTTTTTCTTTTTTCTGTCTGTCGTTCGCTGTTCGCCACTAAGGCAACACATTGTTTTTTTTTTGTCGATATTTTTGTCGTTCATTTAGGACACAAAACATATATAGTTTTTTATTATTTCGTTCGTCGTTAGCCATTGAGGCAACATTGTAATTTCTTTACTTTTCTTTCTTGTCGATATTGCCATTGTGGCATAATTATTATTATTTTTTTTATTAATAAATAAATCAAAACATTACCATAAACAGATCTGCGTTGCGTGAGTTATTTAAATATTATTAGTACGTGTCTCCTTTTGTTTTGTCACCTCTTCGTCGTGTCTCCATTGTGTGAGACCAGTCAATATTTTGGTCATCGTCGAAGCACTTTGGTAGTGTCCGCCTTCACCTCTGCGTAAGTCCGCCAGCCACTGGGTGGTGTGTGAGGCCACCACGGCCTTCGAGAGTTACCAGTTACCAGTGCAGTTACCAAAGTCGTCACGTATTTTAAGTTGTGATTTGAGTGTTTAGTTAGTAAGGTCTTTTTTCGATTTTGTGTGAACTCTGTGGTCATTGCACCATACTGATCCGACCACAGAGACTCCCCCCCTTATATCTAAACTCAATATCCCCATTCCCGTGTTAAGTTTAAGTCACTGTCTCCCATCCTCGTCGTCGTCGTTGTGCACATTAAGTTGCCTATTCTATATCCGTCAGGCAACGGCACGTTAGGTTGCCTATACGGTGAACCTCGAATGTATGCGATTCATATCGAACATATTTTGGTCCCTCGAACCGGATGGTATAAACAAACCGTGACATTATTGTATTTATATGAAATAGATTAAATCTGATTGAAAAGTCGTCTCTACTTCGATAGTTTCTTTTTGTGATTTTGTTAACATTCGAATTTCGTACTATTGAAACATAGTATTGGATATTTATTAAATTACACGTACCTTGTTGTTGACATCATGCTTGCTCCTTCGTCAATAACTTATTCAGATGCTAAAGCACGGATTGTCCGGGCAATCGCAAAAATCACATCATTCGCTGCTGCAGCTGGTGAATATAAATCTGATCGATCAAATGCGGGCAAACGTGCCAAAGTCTCGAAAATGTTGTTGGAATTAAATGATATTCGTAAAATTGCCGAAAATGACTTTCAAGTTATGGAAACCTCAGTCAGCAACAAACTAGCACCTCCTGAAATCGTCGATAATAAGGAGAGTCTTAAACTTTGTTCGGAATTCGATAACCTATACTACGAATTGTCTGCGTTTGCTGATGTTTATCAGTTTTCGTTATCTCCTGGTATGGATACGTCAACGGCTCAAATAAATTCAACTCACGTTTCGAGCCAAAATAATTTATCAAATTACCAACTACCCAAACGAAAATTTCCGACATTTTCTGGAGTTGTAATTGAATGGCAAGGGTTCGAAGATCTCTTCAAGTCGATTTTGTCACACGCACCAGATCTTCCGGACGTTGAACGTTTCGAATATCTAAAAACCTCTCTGGAAGGTGAAGCGCTTTCGTTGGTGTCCCATCTTCCTTTAACATCTGCTAATTATAATAAGGCCTGGGATATACTGCGTGCTCGTTATGGAAACAAGCGTGATTTGGCTCGAATTCACCTTGACGCCCTTTTAGCACCTCATACTGTCAAGTGTAATGATGCATCTTCCATTAAAACTCTTCTCACGGCCATTCTTGAACACACTGCTGCCTTAGACAATTTAGATTTCATTACCCGACAATGGAGTCCGATACTTGTCCATATATTTGAACATCATTTGGATTATGACCTTCGTGCTCGGTGGGAAATTACTGTAGGAGATCGACATCAACCATCCACGAGTGATTTTATCGATTTCTTAAGAAGTCATGTTCGTTCTGCAGAAGCTCGTGCAGGTCATTACTCTTCGAATTTACACTCGTATTCGGCCCACCAAACACCTCCTAAAAAATCGTTCCCTCAAAAATCTCGTCCAACTTATGGACCAAAAGTAATGACCACCAATATGACGTCATCTACTGAGTCTAGTTACCAATCCACAACGATCAGTACTTGTCAGCTCTGCAATAAGACACATTCGATCCGTAAATGTCAGTTATTTCTTAGTAAAACGCCAACTGACCGGTTTCAGATTATAAAAACGCATCGGCTGTGTATAAACTGTCTTAACTCCGGACATTCTGCCGCATCTTGTACTTCAAAATACAAATGTACAACCTGTAACCGATCTCATCACAGTTTGTTGCATTTTAATGTTAAAACAATCCCACCATCATCAACCACGGTTCTAACGACCAGTGAAACTGAAGCTGGTCCTAGTGTGAAATCGATGGTGGTACGAGGACAGCCTCATAATATTGTATTGTTGTCTACTGTCCTACTTGATGCGATAGCTGCTGATGGCACTCGTCATACTATTAGAGCCCTTTTTGATAGTGGTGCTCAAGCGAGTTTTATTACTGAACAAGCTGCATGTATTTTGATGCTCAAGCGCCATCCCTCAACGGTTTCAATCACTACGTTTGCCAGTAGTTCTTCGTCACCGGTCCGTGGTCAAACATCCATTACTGTGCTGCCACGTGGACAGCAATCACCATCGTTTTGCGTGGATGCTTTTGTCGTCCCACGAATCACAGGGCCTACTCCTCAAACTCCTATCATCCCAGGATACTGGAGCCATATTACAAATCTTCCACTCGCTGATCCATTGTACCATCGTCCTCAATCAGTTGATCTTTTGTTGGGTGCCGATATCTTACCATTGCTGTTTCTAGATGGTAAAGCTGCAGGCCAACCTGGAGAGCCCATCGCCCTCGAAACCGTGTTCGGTTGGATTCTGATGGGACCTGTGAACACTCGTCCTCAACAAATAGTCAACGCCATGTTCTTATCTATTACTGAAACTCTCGATTTGTCCATAAGGCGTTTTTGGGAACTTGAAGAGTTGCCTGTTGTTCGTCATCTTAGTCCAGATGACAAAGCTGCAGAAGATATTTACACATCAACCACAACTCGGCTTAGTTCTGGACGTTTTATGGTTGCTCTCCCATTTAGAAAACCATTTCCCATGTTAGGTGACTCAAAATCGCATGCGCTGCAACAGTTCAAAGGTCTCGAGTTTCGATTAAATCGCAATCCAGATTTGCGCAAGCAATATAATGACTTCATGCAAGATTATTTATCATCTGGTCATATGGAACGTATACCATTGCACGAAATAGACAATCCTTTGCATTACTATATCCCACACCATTGCATCCTAAAGCCTGATAGCATGACAACAAAACTACGTGTAGTCTTCAATGCTTCAGCTCGTACGTCAACTGGTGCGTCTTTGAATGAAAGTATGTACACAGGTCCGAAACTTCAACCCGATATTCAAGTGGTTCTTCTACGTTCACGACTATGGAAATACGTTTTTATGGCCGATATAAAACAAATGTATCGCCAGATTGTCATTCAACCATCGGATCGGGATTATTTAAGAATTCTATGGCGATTTTCAACAACTTCTCCTATTGAAGACTATAGGTTGGGTACAGTCACGTATGGTACTTCAGCAGCTTCCTTTCAAGCTCTGCGTACAATTCGTCACCTAGCTACAGTCGATGGCGATTCATGGCCGTTAGCTGCAAACATTTTGCTCAATGACACATTCGTCGACGACATTTTAACTGGTGCCAACTCGGAAGCAGAAGCATTGAAATGTCAAGACCAGTTGATAAAATTGTGTTCCCTTGCTCAGTTTCAACTCCGCAAGTGGGCTAGCAACAGTCCACAAATCCTAAAAATGGTTCCACATGAAGATTGTGCAATGCCAGTCTCCATTTTATTTAACAATGATATGAGTTCTGAATTGAAAGTGCTTGGGCTCAAATGGGACCCATCCTTCGATACCTTTTCGTTTAAAACGTACCCATCATCAAGTCAAGTGACTAAACGTTCAGTTCTATCCGACATTGCTCGTGTGTTTGACCCGTTAGGACTTCTGTCCCCACTGACATTCTTCACTAAACATGTTATGCAACAGTTGTGGACTTCCGGTGTCACGTGGGACGATCCACTACCTACTGATATTGCCAAGTTATGGGTCCGATATCAGTCTGAACTTCATTTGATCGAAAACATTAAGATTCCTCGTCGTATCACCCACGATCAAGCTAAATCCATACAGTTTCACGCCTTTTCTGATAGCTCAGAAAAAGGATATGCTGCTGCAGTCTACTTGCGCGTGGAAACCGATACTTCAGTGCACTGTCAGCTCATCACCGGGAAGTCAAAGGTTGCGCCTTTAAAGCGTTCTACAATTCCTAGACTTGAACTATGTGGCGCCGTCCTTGCTTCAAAACTACTTCGGTTGGTAGTAGATACATACAGTGATCGTATACGCGTTGATGAACTACATGCTTGGACAGACTCTACCACAGCTCTCGTATGGATACGCTCATCTCCTCATCGCTGGGCGACTTTCATAGCAAACAGAACCAGTCTTATCCAAGAATTGACTTCACCGTCAATTTGGCGACACGTCCCCACCAAGGAGAATCCGGTTGACTGTGCTTCCCGTGGCCTATTACCGTCTGAACTCCTCAACCACCCACTGTGGTGGACAGGCCCAAACTTTTTGCTTAACTCAACAGACAAATGGCCTCAACTACCTGTGAGTGAAATTGACGATTTCAATGGGCCCTCTTTGAGTGAATCTCGAGCTCCTGATGTACTTCTTGTTACTCTAAACAACTCCATAATAGACTTGTTAAACCGTATGTCATCGTTGCAAAAAATACTTCGCGTGATTGCCTATTGCCTTCGTTTTTCAAAGACACGGTCTTCAGCTCCTGCTACCAGGGTCATAGAGGCTGAAGAAACGACACATGCACTTCGTGTTCTGATTTACTTTGTTCAACAACAAACATTTGCTACCGACGTTGTAAATTTATTAAATGGTCGTAATTGTTCCAAAGCTCTCCAACGCTTAGACGTTTTCTTCGATCAGTCTGGACTCATCAGAGTGGGCGGTCGGCTGCGCCACGCTGATATACCATACGTTCATCGGCACCCAGTCTTGTTGCCATCACGCCATCGTCTTACCAATCTAATAATTGATTATAATCATATTGTTTTAAAGCATCCAGGTGCATTGACACTCCAATCACATTTGCAGCGGGAATATTGGATTTTGTCTGCTAGACAGGCCATTCGATCCCGGTTACGGTTATGCATTTCCTGTTTTCGCACTCGACCTCAACATGTTCAACCCAAGATGGCTGCTCTTCCGAAATATCGAGTTCAACAAATAAAACCTTTCGCTGTTACCGGTGTGGACTATGCTGGGCCGATAACGATCAAGAGGTCCCGTGGTCGATCATCTGCCGATACTTCCACTTACATCTGTCTATTTGTCTGCACTGCTACGAAAGCCTTACACATTGAACTTAGTTCTAATCTTTCGACAGAGACTTTCTTACTGGCATTCACTCGTTTTGTTGCCCGTCGTGGCCCAGTTAAGGAAATCCACAGTGATTGTGGGACCAATTTTGTCGGAGCCGCGAATCTCCTTACTCCGTTACACGACTTTGTCGCTTCTGACAGTTATCAAAACAGAATCCGCAGCCACCTATCCAAAGATCAAATTGCTTGGTTTTTTAACCCCCCTTCCTCACCTCACTTTGGAGGATTATGGGAATCTGGAGTCAAGTCGACAAAATCATTGATTTTTAGATCCATTGGAACACACCGACTCACGAGTGAAGAGTTGATCACGCTACTTACTAAAATCGAAGCCACTCTTAACTCACGGCCATTGTGCGCCCTAAGCAATGATCCCATGGATTTGGAAGCGTTGACCCCCAGCCATTTTCTGACTCTTGAGCCTACAACTTCTTTGCCCGACCCATGCTTGGACAATGTGTCATTTTCAAAGATGCAGCGTTGGCGCTTAGTTACAGATCTTCATAGATTTTTCTGGACCCGCTGGAAAAACGAATACTTATCCTGTCTTCAACTGAGGACCAAGTGGTCAAAGGATGGAAAAGAGTTGAGTATAGGTGACCTCGTCTTAATTAAGGAGCCAACACATCCGTTATATTGGAAATTCGGTCGTATCATTGCCTTACATCCTGGCTCCGACGGGGTGTCGCGCGTCGCTACTGTTCACACTACAACCGGAAATCTTAAACGTCCAGCTGTGAAATTGTGTCCATTGCCATCTTCTTGAAGTGCCTTCAAAGTGGGCGGTGATGTTTACGCCGATGGATGTAGCCGGCAACCGGTACAGAGTCGAGCGA